CTAAGAGACTAGAGAGACTCAGGGAGCTGAGGACTTCATTTCCAAGGAAAGGCCAGAAAGGGGACTAAGCAGCAAGGATCTCCAGTGTGGCTAGAGACAGGCCGAGGAGGGGGGAAAAGGCTCAGAGCTCCCTCTGCTCACTGACCTGAACCGATCAATGGCCAGATTGTGGGAAGTAAATTTGGCTAGTATCTCTAATGAAAAGTGTAAACCCTTAATGTCTTGTTTCATTAAGAAAAAGGGGGGGGGGTTGGTTGTGGCTCAGTGGTAGAGTACTTGCCCAGCACTTGTGAGGCACTGGGTTCAGTCCTCAGCATCACATAAAAAATAAACAAATAAAATAAAGGTATTGTGTTCATTTATAACTAAAAAAAAAAAAAAGTAGACTATGAAGATTAATAGCACTACAACTGATGGATGATGCTTTTCTCTTTGTACCTCTCTATTTTCCCATTAAACAAGTATTTTAAATTTTTATATTTTGTAGTTGATAGGGAGGGAGTTGCCTTTTAAAATATACCTGTTTTCAAATAGAAAATTTTCACTTATTTCCAGTAGATTTCAGAGATTTATAATCACAGGCCATTCATCCACCCACCCAAATATTCATGTTCTAGGCAGCAGGCAAAGGTCATCGATATTAATGCTTTGGGCACACATGTGTAACAAGTGGTAAGAGAAGCAAGCACTCTGGTGAGGAAGACAGGAAGAGGACACTACCTGACAAGCAGCCCCACCTCTGCCTCATCTGTGTGATTCTCTGCCTGGGTTGCACTGCTTGCTCTTTCTTTCTTTGGGTGGTAGTAGGATTGAAGGGAGAACTTCATACTTGTTAGTCAAGCACTCTACCACTGAGCTACATCCCTAGCCCTGTTTTTATTTTATTTTAGGACAGAGTCTTGCCACTTTGCCCAGACTGGCCTCAAACTTGTGATCCTCTTGCTGCCGCCTCCTGAACAGCTGGGATTGCAGGTGTGCACCACCACACCTTCTTGTGCTAGAAATTTTTTTTATCCTTCAAAGCTGTGGGTGTCTCACCTCCCAAGGATGCCTTTTCATCTAAATCTCCAACTCCAGGAAGGAAGCCTCAAGAGTCTGCCACTATTTGCCATACTGCAGAGCACTTATCATGGCTTACTACTAAATGACCTGAATGGGCTCACCTTTATCCTCACCACAAACTTCCAGTGAGTATTCTTCCACCCATTTGCCAACTGCGGAGGCAAGTGAGGTGAAAACCCACACCCTGCAAGCAAAAAGCACATGAATCCTAGGCCATCTAGGCTCAAGAGTCTATGTTCTTAACCACTGGGCTGCAACACTGTAACTTTAGTGGAGATTAATTGATGGTTTTAGGCTTCTCTGGAGGCTGTGGAAAGAGATGACCAGAATTGGAATACACTCAGGACTGGGACCCAGGCATTCTTCTTTGATCTTAGTACACTCTCTCTAGAGACCTTTCCATCTAATCTAGGGCTTATGGTTACTATTTGTACACTGAAAACTCCCAAATTTTTAATCCCTATTTTTGAGCTTCAGATCCTTACATCCAATTATCTATAGGCATCTGAAATTTACCAAGTATAGAAGAGAACCTCTGCTCTTTCCTTCTGTTCCCCTCTTCTGGTTCTTTCCCAGTCTTGTTCAGTGAGTAACTAATAACCAGAAACCTAAGATTTATTTATTTTTATTTTAAATTTTTATAGTGGGCTTCGGGAAAGGTAGGCAAGAGCTCTACCACTGAGCTACCTCCCTTGCCCTACACAAGATTTATTAATACCTATCTTCAATTCAACTTCCAGAAAGCAACCAGGGTAAGTTCCAAAAATACCAGTCTGAAAATTTAAAAATGTTAAAACAAACAAACAAAAACTCCCAAGAGTTTGGCTGTCTTGTGCTTCCACTTCCTTCAACAGAATCTCATTACTCAGGCTAAGCAGCACCCTGAACAGGCCCTTCCAATCTCACCCTCACTTCACACAGCCCAGGCCAGGTTCTCAGTTCCCTGTTCCTGCAATGTTTCCTACCTGCTGTGTGTTCTGCAGCAATTCCCTACCTGGGAGGATTCCCCCTCATGAGGGTTCCATTTAAAGAACACCATTTCTGCTCAGACTTCCTCTGTCTGCTAGTTTAAAGCTACCATCAATGTGCATGAGTGGTACAGTTATTTAAAAGTTGCACAAGGATAGGTTTTATCTGCCACTGTAGATCCTGTTGCTGGGCACATAATGACGGTCAAGGTCTGTTGAGCTAAGGTAAGAATGGCCCCAAGTCTAGCCCAAGCCTCAGCTCTCACCTCCTTACTGGTCTTGCTACTTTCATTTTCTCTTACTTAAATCCAATCCACCTACAAGTACTGATAAAAATTCTAAAAACTATTTAATCCTATCACCCTCTTGATTAAAAGCCCAAAGGTTTCCCCACATCCTCCAGTGTCAGACCCAAATTTCTCAGCATGACATGAAAAGACTTCATAATCTGGTTCCAATTTATCTCTCCAGCTTTAACTCCTGCCACCCCAAGTCTCAAACCCTATGATCTGGCTATGATGTTATTTGATGTTCCACCAAATGCCAAGCTGTTTTCTCCAGCTTTAAAAGCCTTCCTTAACTTCCCTTCCCACACCTGTAAACACTCTTCAAGACCCAGACCAAATGTCACCTTCTGAAGGCATTCTCAGACTTTCCCACCAAACTTAACTTTTAAGAAAATTGTACATTTGATACATTCTAAAGAAAAAGGTGACATGTATCCCACTGGTATTTGTTCACATCACTATGATAATATATGCCTCAGTACTCTACCCACCCTTCCTTACTAACTGTGGACTCCTGAGAAGGCAAGGGCCAGCCTGGCAGCCACACACAGTGGGGATTTCACCAAATCCATTGGTAATGCCAAAATGAATGGATACCGGATATGCATGGTAAGCATGTACCCTAATGAATGCAAAAGAATTGGAATTTTAACTGTAATTTGTCAACCTACAACCAAAGTTTTGGGTATTAATTTCCAGTTCTAAATCTATTATCATCTTGCTATCTGATCCAGACCACTCACTTACCTTCCCTATATCCTGTTCTGCAAAATGGGAAGTGTCCGCCCTCCCATGTACAAGAACTCGGATACCTCTAAATCTCACAGCAGTGCAAAACATGGCATGAAGACTGCTTCAAACCCAGTCCTGGCACTATCTGAGAAATGAACCTCTAGTACCATGTTTTTAGCTATCCTGACTAAATTCTGATGAAAATGTACCCAAATGCCAAAGAAACTGGGAAAGACAATTTCAGCCTCAAGCTGCAAATGCCAGCCTGGCATCAAACCACAAACACATTTGAACAACCATTTTTCAAATAAAATTTAAAAGGACTATGAGATAACTTGTGCTTAAATTGTGAAGAGTAAGGTGCTACATTCTGGCAACTCTTGGTCCCCAGGGCAGGGATGGATCTGGCTGAGGCCGCCTGAGTATTCTTGGAGCCCTAAGACACCAGGGCCTCCTGGACTCCAACTCCCACCCTCCCCCCAGCCATGATACACAAACCTTTCTTGTTCTCTAAGTGGCATTCTGTGCCATCCTCAGCCAGAGCTGCTTCCAGATCTTGTTTACCAACAGCCCTGCACATGGTTCCAGTCCCGCCCCCCTCCATCACACTATCCTCGACTTAAACACAAAAAAACCCCACAAATTCACAATGTCTATTAACAGTGAAGAAAAGGCCAATTTTTTACCCCACCCTCCCTAAAAACACATCCAGCTACTTAGAAATCTTCTTCAGATATTATAAATAAACAGAATATTTTTTGCTTAAGATTTTTTTTTTAACAGGAAAATAAGATTAAACACTTTTCCTCTGCAGTCTGTCAATTCAGATGGCAAGTTTTGTTTCCAGTCAACCCAGGTGAAACTAGAAGAGGAGATGGCTCGATTCAAAAGATTTCACCAAATCCATTGGCAATGCCAAAATGTATGGATACCTGATATGCATGGTGAGTCTTTACCCTAATGAATGCAAAAGAATTGGAATTTTAACTGCAATTTGTCAAGTTTGGGGCAGACTCTTCCCAAACAAAATTATTTCTTAAAACACCAGAATTCTATAAAAAGTTTCTGTTAAAAGTCAATGATGTTAAAACCATGTAACACTGCAAAACTACCATATGACTCAATCCTTTGCACATCAGGGCTGAATAACAAGTAACACTTGGAAACCAGAGCTTGTAACTCAGCAAGTCTACTTCAGCCTTGCCTTTTCTAGAAAGTCACACTGAAACAGAGGAGAAAGTCCATAGTATATAAAGGCAATATCTAGAGCCGAAAAGCCCCTCCAATGATTTTAACATAAACTATTGGTAACTTCTACTTGCCACATTTAACAGTCTTGACCTGTTCCTGAACAGGCAGGTCAGACAGCTCAGGCTCCCTCCACAATGAAAATACAAATACCAGAAACCTCAGAACACACAACAACACTGACAAAAGCTCTGTGGTGTGATCCAATTTTAAGTGCCAGGATTTCTAACTATGTCAAAGGTGATTTTACAGCAAATATTTTCAAGAACAGGAGAACTACCCATCGGCCCTGTCAAACATGCATATAAATACTTTAGATGCAATTTGAGCAGTCTAAGGAAATATCAGGTTGATTGGCATGAAACTTTCCACTAATGTGAACAAAGTTTGGAATTCTTTATTTTCTTCTTTAAATCATTCTTATCAAGTGACAGTCTCGTATTTATCTCCATTATAGAAGATTTTTAAAGAATCTGCTGTAGGTACCTGAGCATGCCCCATACAAATGCACGAGACAGTTATCCAAGGAAGAACAGGTAAAGGTCAACAAATGAATCCACCACATTTAAATCTGTAATACTAGGTAAAATGACTGAGTAAATGAAAAACTTATCTTGAAGTATAAAATTAGGCCCACTGCCCTTGGTAAGAACACATAAAGTCTTAAAGGGATTCTTAACAGCTAAGACAGCGTGCTACTTACTTCCTCATTAAATAGTTTGCTAGTTTCTTTTTTGATTGGGTCTATAAGCTGGACTTGGCCTGCGGAAAAGCCCACTAGGAGAGAGACACTTTCTGCTGTGGCTGTTAGGTGGTTGAAGTCATGACAAGTAGGCTGTGTTCCTTTGTATATCCTTTTATCTATTGGTTTACTCAAGTCAGCAGCCTGGAGGAGAAAGAGAAAAATACATACAGTAAACAGCACATTGAGATGAGAAATCTAAGTCACACTATTTTACACCCCATTATGATGGTCAATCTTAAAAACAAAGTTACTTAAAATATTTTTTCAGTTGTGATTTAATATTCATCTAACATTTCATAAAAGCACTTTCACATACTTCATCCAATTAGATATTGGTAGACTATCCATAATGTTTATTTATAACTATTACTTCCACAACTTATTTTCCTTCAAATACTTGTAATAAAGACTACTGGACTACAAGATACTAAATTCTGAATTTTCAAAATGCATTCCAAAAATTTTATATTATAGAGTAACTCTAACCACATAAAGCTCCGCTTTCAAAGATATCTATAGCACCTAATGCCTACTGGTAAGTTAGCCCAGTAGTTCTCACAGTGTGGTCCCCAGACCACCAATACCAGCAGCATCATTTCCTAGAAACTCAGAAATTCAAATTCTCAAGTCCCACCCCAGATCCAATGAACCAGCAATTCTGGAGGTGGGCCTCACAAGCTGCAGTTTTGTATTTTTTTTTAAAAAAAAAAAAGCCTTTTAGGTGATTCTGATGCTCCCTCAGACTTGAGAACCACTGCTGGAGGGAGGGTCACACTCCCTCTCTGTATTAGGTACCAGGGAACTTTCACTTAGAGAGTCCTTTGCATATAATGCCTTTAATCCTTACAAAAATCCTGCAATAGAGTTAATATTTACCCCAGTTTACAAGGTGAGAAAAAAAGTCTAGGAAAGTAAAATGACTTAGCCAAAGTCACATAACTACCTAGACCAAGTGGCAGGGCTGGATGTGAAACCTAGGATTGACGACCATAAACAGATGATATCCAACACATCCCCAAAGCAAAAGCAAATGGTTTCTGATTTGAACTAAAAGTGGTTTTTCATCCTGCTTCAACTCCCTTTTTTCAAGAAGGATCTTTTTTGCACAAGAAATGCTCTATGTAGCGCTGGGGACACAGCTGAGTTGGTAGAGTGCTTGCCTTGCATGCACAATGCCCTGGGTTCTAATCCCCCAGCACCACCAAAAAAAAAAGAAAGAAAGAAAGAAAGAAATGCTCTGTGTAATCTCAATCTACTGGGCTGTTACTGCTGAAATAAGGCAAACTCACTTTCTCACTGTGTTTGAAAATACAGGTAGAGCCAAGTGCAGTGGTGCATGCTTGTAATCCCAGCAACTCGGGAGGTTAAAACAGGAGGATTGGGAGTTCAAAGCCAGCTTCTGCAATGGTGAGGTGCAAAGCAACTCAGTGAGACCCTGTCTCTAAATAAAATACAAAAAAAGGGGCTGGGAATGTGGCTCAGTGGTCAAGTGCCCTTGAGTCCAATCCCTGGTAACCCCTCAAAAGGCAGGGTAGGGAGCTGGGGATATGGTTCAGTGGTTAAGTGCCCCTGGTTCCATCCTCGGTAGCCCCCCAAAAAAGGGAAAGAAAATAAATCATTTGTGAGACAACTAGCACTGCTGAATGTGTTCTTAAAAACATCCCCTTTCATGGGCATGAAGGTCCACACCTGTGATCCCAGCTACTCCCCAGGCACAGGCAGGAGGATTACAAATTCCAGACCAGCCTGGGCAACTTTGCAAGACTTCATCTTAAAATAAAATAAAATGTCCTGGGGATGTGGCTCAGTGCTTTCCTAGCATGGGCAAGGCCCTGGATTCAATCTCTAGTACTGCAAAACAAACAACAAGAAGTCCCTTCTCCCTGTGTACCATTCAGGATTCACAGCTCTAGTTCCCTACTGGACACCCCCCTCCACTGGATTCTGAGGATTCCTTTCTTCCAAAAAGGCCTATGACATTGTATCAAGTTAACATTTTGATTTTCAAATAACAAACATACATACTGAGTAGGGAAAAAGTCCTCAAAATTATAGGCAACTCTGAGCAAACTCAAAACCTGAGTATTTGGAACTATGGGCCTGAGTGGTACATGTGGTCCTGGAAGCCCCAGAGCAAAGGAGAGGGATATGCCATGTAGACACCCTCCTAGCCTCACCTCAATTAAAACGGAGATGAGAATCTCTGTCCTACCAACCTCATGGAATTGTCTGGAGGATGAAATAAAAGAATATACATATGAAAGTGCCTTGGAAAGCATAATGTAATTTCAGTACAAAACAAAAGGGGATCCCAACTTTCAAGCAAGAAGAAAAGGGGCCAAGAGGACAGTAACTTCGATGAGGCAGGGTGAGGGCAGCTCAGCAGAGGTCTGACAGTAAATGTGGAAGCATCCAGAGGGACACTATGGACAGGCAGTCTGAAGGAAGCATCTACTGAGCTTGGCCTTAAAAGTAGGGAAACAGGAGTCCAGGCTCAGGGAATAGCAAGTTATCTCAGAACAAGAAAGATATCAGCAAAAGTAGCCAAAAAACGTAGACTAAGATACAACTGTAGCTACAGAACAAAACTCTACTTTGAAATATGAGTAATTATTACATGATCACTCTATCAACTTGTGCAACTCTTGAAAGTTTAAAAAACTGCTTAGAGAATTTTCCCTTAAAAGGATACATCTAATCTAAAATTATACACTGAAAAATAAAAGTCTATCCAAAGGACAGACAAAAACTAACAGAGAAGATATGTTAATATAAATCAAAATAATAAAAAATAAACACAACAGAGGAAGTAAAAGCACCCGTTTTATCCAAGTATTGCTACCAGTTTAAACTTAGGCATCCCTTACAATAACGACATTAGCCTCAGTTCTTGGATTTTTTTTACATCCCTGTCCCCAATAAGGAACATCACTGAAAAGATGGCAAGTATTTAGTGGCAACTGAAAGATTTTTTGCTCTTAAATTAGATAAATATTCCAAAAACATCCTGTTTGCTAATTTGCTTAACAAACTTTCTTCCTAGATCAATGCTCTCAAAGTATAACAACACATGAATAATTTATTTACCTGCAGACAAATGTACTGACTGCAGTGCAAAAATACAGAATAAGAGTTTAAAAACTTCTTTGGTAATTGACAGTAATTTTATATACATTGAATCTAATGACAAAAAATAAAGAAAGAATTTATGCTCTGCATGTCTTTTTCAGTTTCTTTTTCTATTTTACGAAAGTATCAATCCAAATAACTGGGTAATTTTAAAGGTGGTCCTTCACTACTGTGCAGAAGACACAAAAGTACACCTGCACTGGGTGTGGTACATCCCTGTAATCCCAGAGACTCTGGAGGCTGAGGAAGGAAAATCACAAGTTCCAGGTCAGCATAGGCAACTTAGTGGGATCCTAAGCAATTTATAAGGCCCTATCTCAAAATAATAAATAAAAAGGGCTGGGGAAGTAGCTCAAGAATAAAGCACCCCTGGGTTCAATCTCTGATACTTAAAAAAAAAAAAATACACTTGAGCCAAAGGAATACATAGAATCTTTCCTACCTGAGGATACTCCTTTGTTCTTCAGCCCTCCCCAGTGGCATGCTAGACTACACCCAGCAAGACTTACTATGGAGAAGTACTGTGAAGCCTTAAGTAACTATTAGGTATGTGCCTGTTAAAAAATTAACATTTTGAATAAAAATCCATGAACACCCTTGTTGGTGCCTGAAATTTCTGGAACCCAGCCCAGACAACAGAGAGTTAGGCCTTTATTTCAAACAGCCAATCTTCCTGTCTTTTCTCCTCTATAGCAATCACTAAATTTGTCTCTTTTTCCACTAATGTATGACTGTCCTATTTCGTCCTCCTTTGGTCTGCCAACATGTACTCCAAGCCTGCACATCTTTTTGGTAGCAGTGATCACTATCTGAGCTAGCTATTCCTCTTCCAAAGGGTCATCAGTCCCTGACAGATAGCTTCCCAGATAGAGACAGTCCGGGAGGAGAATAATGAACCCAGACTTAGAAGCAGGGAGCTCAGGTTCAAACACATCTTCCCTCTCAATAGTGCGATGGCCTTGGACAAGGTCTGATTGCTCCCACTGAGCCACAGAGGACAACACCCTTCCTCCCCCACAGGGTAGTGGTGAGGGCTGAACATTCAGTGTTTTCTAGCACAAAACAGAGATCTCAAATGGAAGCCATTATTAATTCATTCCAGTCACATTCTAGCTCTGTTCAAAAGCAGCTGTGGTTTCCTCATTCCCATCATATCAAAGTAGGAAGATGCATCCTGCCTGCCATAGTTCACCTATCCTTCCCAATAGCAATGCCATTTTCTGTCTATTGTACCCTTCCTTTGATTCAGGCCCAGACCAGGACTTGACACTCATCAACCATTTAATCTCACAGTCACCTTTCAAAGTAGTTCTGGCTATGATCCTTTCTTTCTTCCTTCTTCTGAGAAGGGATGCAGGCAAAATTCTGTGTTCCTCTCCACCCTTTGTGAGCTTTCCACAACACAAGCCAAGCCTTGGTTTTGGAGACAGGCCCTCTTTCCTGGCTTCATTGTGCCAACCTCTTGGTCAATACAACCTTCTTGACCCTATTTAGTTCCAGTCCCATCACCTGTTGCAAGAATTTTCCCAACTACCATTCTTTGTGCTCAGCTTATCTCAGCTCTCAAATAAATAATTAGAACCACAGGTTTAGTATTTAATCACCTCTATGACTTCAGAATATTTTTTATGTGTTAGCTTAAAAACTCCATTAAGGAGTAGGACTTATTAAACGGTTACCACTGTACTGTTCTACAAAATTAGCCTTTTGTTTTTTTAGCTTTCTTCTGAATTCTGCATACTTTGGGATTCTTAAAAAAAGTTTTGTACACTAATTATTGCCAATCATCTGAACTCTTAAACATTAATCTGTGGCAGAACCTATTTATTAAAAATTCTTGGGGCTGGGATTGTGGCTCAGCGGTAGAGCGCTTGCCTAGCATGGGCAGGATCAGGGTTCAATCCTCAGCACCACATGAAAATAAATAAATAAATAAAGGCATTGTGTTGTGTCCATCTACATATTAAAAAAAATATTATCAATTTTAAGAATTAGGTCATATTTTGTTTCTA